TTTATGTCAAGTTTATATTTATGTTTCATTGTAGCTATACTTTTGTTTATTGTGCCGAATAAATCGTGAGGTTAGCAGTGTAAAATTTGTACATTTGCAGTCAACTATCATGCCTATTGGTGGTCGCTCTCGTTCAGTCCAGCGCAGGCGCATTTCAACATTATTGTAGTAAGAAAGCTTTTTGGTACTTGAATATCATCTCTTTCAAACAAGTTTATTTCAACATATGTCTGTGTATGTTGTTTCACCATACAGACAAAACTAATTGCCACTACTAGTGAATGTATGTAATAGTTTACAGTACAGATGGATTGAATAACACCACCTGACCCTAGTTGCTTGATACATCCTGTTAGGAGAGATTACCAAATGATACAGACACCATAAATTACAAAGAAAATTACTTTACAGCACTTAAAAGATTAGTCCTGGTCACATTCCTCTCATTATAGGCAAGATTTATGTTAGAATTCAAAACTTAAGCTCTTCAATGTATTGAGACCCCAACTGTGAGAATGTCGTAGCTTTCCTGTATTATTAAGATGATTGTATTCAAAGTGCTAAGCCTAGTTCATTTAAACACCATGCACTCACCACTCGATAGCTCTTAACCCTAACAATCGTAAAAATAGATAAATTTGCATTTTATGGACGATACAAATGTTTTGGGATTTCAAAAAAATTTACTAAAACATAAAAAGTAATAAGTTCAAATCTGGAACAAATATAAATATCGTAGTCATTTCTTATAAATACCATTTCCTAATGTAATTTTCCAAGATATTAAAGATCGTAATGCAAAAAAAACTAAATTTATCAAAAATAACATGCTTTATGTTTCTTAAACTACATGTATTTATGAAAGTTCTTATGAAGTTTCAAACAATTTCATCCACTAGTTTTATTGTTGGAATAAAATATAACAAGACTTGCATTGAATACACAGAAAGTTAGTAGCCGGTGGTCATCAGGTTAAAGACCAGGTCTGTAAGCAAATAGGCATAACAAAAGTCCTGAACATAAGAGGGAAGGATGCAGACACTCCTGAAATCCCAAAAACAAAGAAACCAGATTAAAGTTCAGACAAGATAGGAATAAATGGGAACCATGGGTGTCCCCACCAAAAACTACTAGGGTCACAAAGAAGAGCCTCAGGGAAGAGGTGAAGGGAAGATAAAGTAGTAGGATAAAGAGAGACCAAAACAGAGAGATGGTTGGAAAGAAAAACAAAGAAGGAAAATGAAGAGTACCTTAAGCACAAAGTTAGGGCACAAGTGATTGGGATCAAGAAATATAAAAGAGCCATGATCTAACGCTATTGCAAAGGAGTCATAAAGATGCATAGGACAAGAAAGAATTAGGACATAAGGAGCAACTAAAAAGGACATGATATACTGGGATAAAAAGATAGAATATCACATACCTGATTCATGAGTGTAGAAAACAGAAAAAGAAGAAAGTACCTGTTCCTTATCAGGGATTTAAGAGCCAAAAACAAGGACCAAAGGTAGAAAAGCTGATGGTCCATGTAAAACTGAATATAAGTTTGAGCTATTGGATTGATCCACTAAATAACTAGAGATTCTATCAGGACATCAGTCAGAGTATTACTAAAACTTCTTTACACAAGATTGCATTAAACAATGTTCTCCATGGGTGGTCATTAGTATTACCTACTTTGAGAATAACAAAAGTAATTTAAAACAAGATCCATTTAATAGTTTTCTTGACAATGTTATGTAAAGCCTGCCTATATTCTGGACAAAGAATGAATTCAGAATAAATATTATAATACTACAAGAAGATAGAAATGCATGGTATGTTCATATATCACAAAACTACAGATCCCGAAACTTTTTTTATAGTTTCTTTAGATGATCTTTATGTAAAATTATATCTGCTTGAAAGCTATGAAAATTTTCTTCTAAGACATCAGGTAAGCTTAGGATTAGTGAGTACAGCAAATGTGACTCTAAATATTTATTAAACTAAATACTTTTTTATTAAATATTAAGTTTATTGTAACCAAACAATGCACAAAAATAAAACAACTTATTTATCTCAACCATGAATATCATTAGCAAACATACTGTTACCTAGCCTGATCTGACAAAATTTTGAAAAGTCAGATCATAGGTCACCAATAAATCATTGTCAGTTTATGCAGTTTTTCTTCTTATATTGGCAAAATAAAATATCAAAAGAACTATGTTCATAAAAATAAAACAAAAAAACAAACAAAAATTCTAAAACGAAAGGAAATGCATTTTTTACACTTTTAGAATTACAATGAATATCAAACAGGTACCCCTTAAATACTGAGTCTTTCTTGTTGAGTTTGAATGCATTCTGTCAACAAAATGTGACTTAAAATTTCCAAGTGTTCTTTACATATTTGCATACCACGTACATCACTTACCCATAATACTTCACTCCCCCACCTTATTGCACATACATCATGCATATTACACAAGTTCTGCTTTCCCATCATAAGTTAGATCTGTTTGCAAATTGTAGTCTTGATGAAAATCAAGTTGTGGGAAGGCAAGAGGAAATGGATTTTAGAGGTAAGTACCTGTTTAAAATTAATTTCAATTCTGAAAATGTAAAATTCAAATTATGCAGATGTACCTCTGAAATACTGAATGCTCACATTATAAAGGAGATAGGAACTGATGAACTACTGAATATTTTGTGACTGCAGTTTTTTTCTTTTTCTGTCTACCTCTCTATAAAATTAAATTAATTATATTTAATCTACGATTTTGATATGCTGTGTAAAATTCATCCTATCCTTCCTTTTGAGGTAATCTGTTTTAAAAACATTTTCTAGCTTTCTTAAATAAATAAATATATATATATGTATATATGTGTGTGTGTGTGTGTATATTCAAAAATATCACAACCCCTGAGAAGCCAATATTTGGGAATAAGGATGCTGAGAGGTACAGCAATACCTTGATTTTCCACAACAAATTCAGAGGTTAAATAACACACAAGAGTGCTGAGTGGATAAATCAATATTACTACAGATTCCAAAGACATAAGATAAGACTGTACTTAATTATTGTATCTTTCATGTTTCGTGTTGTTTGTTTGGAAGTCAAAATTATTCACATTCTTTGACATCTTGGAAATGGGTAACTATGGGTGGTGGGTAGAAAATATACAAATGCCCATAAACAGATTCTATCGAGACTGAAGAATTACTGGTGACAAATGGAATCCTGAAACTGAAGATACAGTGATGTGATGAAACAAATAACAGCAAAAACATTATGCAGATTCATCCACCTGTCCACTGGTAAAATGGCTCAAAAGACATAGAACAGGTGGCACTGCTAAATGGCAAAGATTATGCAAATTAACTTGAAATGAATGCTTCGTGTTTGGGTGTTTGTTGTTAATCAAGCTATAATATGAGCTGCTTGAGTACAAACATTATACTGTCAGTAATATCTGTAGATGATGGCAGGAATACATAGAACTATCAATGTTGAGAAGTATAAACAAGTTAAAGCTGCAAGCTATAGGCAAGTTGCATAAGCAACATCTCCAACTAATACACACAAACTGACAGTGTTGTTACAGCACGACTTTCAACAAGAAAATCTAACTTATGGTGGGAAAACACAGCTTATGTAAGATCCACTGATGGATACGTCATGTGGAATGTTGGAGAGAGAAGTATTATGGATAAGTAATGCATATTGTATGCAAACATGTAAAGGACATTTGGAAAGTTGAGACACACTCTGTTGACAGCATATGTTCAAACTCAACAAGGACAGCTCTTCAGTATTTTAAAGTAAGACTATCTGATTTGAATTTGTGTGTTCTCAAAAGTGTCTAGCAGTAAAAGTTTGGATGTATCACAACATAAAAAAATATGAAAAACAAAATAAATCATGTGAATTTTTTAAAAATCTAAAACTATATATTTGTTTTTTGTTGAATTTTGTGCAAAACTACTGAAGGGATATCTGCATTAGCCATTCACGATTTTGAGGTGACAGACTAGAGAGAAAGCAGCTAGTCAGCACTACCCACCTCAATGTTTAGGTTACTCTTTACCAACAAACAGTGGGTTTGATTATCATATTATAATGCCCTCATATTTGAAAAATATGACCACATTTGGCAATGGGATTCAAACCAGTGACCCACAGATTGCAAATCAAGTGCTCTAACTAACAAGCCAAACTATAAACTATTTAATAATTTTGTATTCAAAGTTTCATGCAGTTTGGTTAAGTACATCCCCAAAATTAAGGGGTATTAGTTACACACACACACCTCTGGACCATAACAGGTTAATGGCTTTATCTTTTATACATGCAATTACATACACAATTATTAGTTATGATTTTCAAAAGTAAAACAGGCTTTTTTGTATACACAGTTGGGACTTGAAATACTTAAATTGTTTTGCATAACTGGAAATAGTGGAGTCAAAATAAAAAACAGTACTACTTTTTTCTTCAGTACAGTTACATTAATTAAAATTCTAGGAGTCAAAAAAAGAAAAAGTAATTGCAAATGAAATTAAAATCACATTTACAAAATAAAGATTTGTATATACATGCATAAAGTGACATCTGCAACAACTACACACATTGCAAACAACATAGAAAAACAATCAAAATGGGTGGCACATGATTCAGATTTTTCCCCCATTATGTGTGTATGGTTGTCGGGAAGGGTGCCTGTTGCAACTTGTGTGAACTGACAGAATATAAACATTACAAGTGATTAACCAAACTGATGGTGACCCTTTACAAAATACAATGTTACCTTTAGTATCACTTTTGCCCCCCATGAAGAGTACTTTCAATTTTCATTAAATATTTGTCTCAAAAAAGAAAAAAAAAAAGGTAATAAGTAGCAAGAACTGAGATATTTAGTGTGCAGACACAAAGATTATGATGCATTTTAGATTAATTAGCACACTTCTGGAAAAAAAAAGTTACATATAATTCAGTACAAAAACAAATACCAACCTTTTCAAATTTTCCATACAGATCCATTAATTTGGGGTCAATTTCTTCCCATTTAGACATGGCAAGGACTTGAAGAATTTGTGCTACTTGCATCAAATTAAACCGAGCTATAAAGCTGATAGGTGCATCTGTAATTCCATAAGGTTCTGGATTGACAATTGCTGGGCAAATGAAGAAGACAAACACCAAGTCAGCACACATTGCACCAACCTCTCTAACTTCAACTCGTTTACCATTCATAATGAGAGTGTACATTTGTCTAACCAACCATGACAGACTTTGTGGAAAACAATACATGTTGTTATGAATTCCCTCAATAAAACGATTGGTTAGATTTACCAGTTTATTGATAGTCCACTGTCGATATTTCAAAAGGTTTGCTTTATATTCTGGAGTTCCCTCTTTTCCAAAATGTCTCAAACGTTCATGTGGAGGAAATCTGACAACAGCTTTCCCAGGGTCAATATCAAGAAATAAGTCATCTTCCATGAGAAGATGCATAATGGGAGTGTGTAAGGCAGCAGTAAGGAAGAGCTTGGCACTAAAGAGACCTTCATTAAAAGTCTTGTATACTTGGCTGAAAGCACATGAACCACGGCGAAGAAGTCGTCTTGGATTTTCACTAGTTGCAAGCTGTAAAACCATTAACTCTCGCAGCAATTTTAAAACAAAAATTTCATCTTCAGGCAGTATACAACTCCCATATATTGCAGACATAACAATTCCTACCATACTCTGTATGGTATCAGCTCCTTGTTTCTCACCAGTCATGAGACATGTGGCAATAAGTTTTGGGTCTTCACGAAAATGTTGTAAAAACTCAGCATAAGCATTATCATGAGCACCAAGCACTCTATAAGAGTCAGTGAAATTAACATTTTCAAGGGCAGAGGCTTGTTGGCAGCAGGCTGCAGGATGTGCATCTGGCCGAGAGAGAATCAAGTTATCCAAGTTGACCCGCTGCCGTCTAGCAATCCAAGCAACATGATACAAATGCTCAACAGCATTTAGGACCTATAGTATAATAAGAAAGATTATAAGACACAACATTTTTTTAAATTTAAAGATATTCAAACTAAACATTTTCTGAATAATATTTATATAAAAAGGAGTATATATTTCATGTGTATGAAGTATCCTGAATTATTTGTGCCCCAGGAGATTCCAGTTAATAAATGCACTTGCACAAAGAAAGGTTACATGATGTAGTTTAGTTTCTAATAAAATAAACATGTCCCCAACATGAGAATAATTTTTGAAAATATTAGTTACTTCAACTTTATCTTTTCAAGCACTCAGTGATGATCTTAAACATCAGAAAGATCTTGCACTTTTAGGAATCATATAAGGCATTCATTTTTTTTTTTAATTTACTGCAAATATGCAATAAAATGAGTTTAATCCTTTAAAATAACACTTATGAACCTAACCTGACACTTAAAGCATTTTTTGGGGAATAGCAGGGAACTCAACCTCCTACTAACATCCACCCTGTCACAAGACTGTGATCTGACTATTTTGTTGCTTGGTGTCTTGAATTTGCTATAGATGGCACTGAAGTGTTTCATAATCCTTCCAAAGAACAAGTTTGTTTAAATGGAACTTTTGGTTGGGATATGTTAAAAACAGAAGCATTACTACAAACCCTGAAACTGTGTGGTAATATTGTCATGACTCAAAGAAATTTATTTTTACTTGAAATTTTCCTTACATTTAAGGTATTTCACCAATTTTCTAAAAAATAATTCAAAGGAAAAAGCTGATCTAAAATGTCCATTCCTTTCAATGACTTAAGTACTGGTGTATAATATGAGCAAACTTGTAGAAATAGTTTTGCCATTAGCATATGATTCAACGTTGTTCTTTAGACATTTGAACTACCAATGTTAAAGCTACATTTTTTAGCAACATAAACACATGCCTTGCAAAACAAATCAACTTACATTAACTAGTAAAAATGTGACACGATAACAGCTGTAATGAGATAAAAATTAAAATCCCTTACATAACAATCATTTAACGGTTTTAAGCTTGCTTAAATTTTTCATTTTTATCTATACAAAATGCATAGAACATCATAATTCAGAAACTACAGTGTATATAGCACTATTTTTGTAGCCAAAAAAGAACTGAAGCTAAAAAATATAGCATTTTTTTTGTATCTCAGCAAAACTGAGCTAGAAAGTCTGAGGAATGTTATAAGCACCCACTGTGGTACATGAAAATGAACTTGGAAGCATCTGGCATAAAAACAAGACAATCTGTTGTGATGTTGTTTTCAATAACAAAAAAAATTGTTTAAAAGAGAAGAAAAACAGAGTTCTATCATAAGAGTAGGTTTGAGTAGATATGCAGTATGTGCAAATAAAAGTATCCTAATAATATTTCTCTACAGAGGCTTCATAACTTCGAACTTTCTATACTTGCTCAGTATTGAATTTTTTACAATTGAATGATTCCCCCATAACACTTCAGAAAATTTCTTCACCTTTTCATTTAAGTTTTGCAGTTGCTGACGTTCAGCTGTTACAAACAAGTGTTCCTGTCGAAGATGTCGAGCTAAGTCAAGAAGTTCCATGCGAGCCCCCATTGTTACTTTCTTGGGCCTCATTCCCATGAGAGATTTAAATTTCAAATAGTCACCACTCCTTTGCTTCTGTAAAATAAAATGGTAAATTATGAACTAGAAAATTTTACATTGAAAAATGCTACTGAGTAATATTAAAAACATTCATAAACTTAAAAAAAAGTATACATATTAAAATATTAGCTTTTCATTTAAAGTATATACTGTACGTGTAATGAACATAATACACATGTAGTACTGAAAAAATATTTTATTACAAAATTTCATTAAAAATGAGAAATGAAAACATAAGAAATCATATTCACCTAAAGTAATTAAGTTATTGCAACAAAACATTATAATTATTTGCTTAACAGCAAGTTAAAATCAACATGTTATTTACCGTTCAAGGTTTGTTTGTTGTTAAGCACAAAGCACATGCCATCCAAAGTGTTCATGTTACAATGAGGTCTGTGTAACAAACATGTGAAGGGTTGACTTGCTGTAGCAGCTAATAATGAAATACTGTAAAAACTATTATGTCTCCTTACTCAATATGCTAAATGTCCCTCTAAACAATGACACGCTGAAACAGACCAAGTCTTGAAATACAGTTTGTCTTTCTACTCTCTGCAACCAGCAATAAGAACACAATATTTGATGTAGATGAAGGATTAAATTTAATTGTTTTCTTTCTAACTTTGAATATATAAAAAAAAAGAAGTCAGTGTATTAATAATTTAAACATATCCATCATGTAATGAATAAAATGGCCTACCTGAAGCTGGTAATGAAGCTACTTCTAAGAGACTGCCTATAAGATACAGAAGAAGGTAAATGTAATCCACTTATTCCACACAGTATTGATGTATTGCAATGAGAAATGTTAAACATACTAGTTATAAATTTACAGCCTAAAACATTTTAAAGAAACATACTGTTACGTATCTGCTTATTTGTTAATTTCCCAGTATAAATTCTTCCTGAGAAACTTCAGCGAT